TCTAGTTATCTATCTATCTATCTATCTATCTATCTATCTATCTATCTCAAAAAATTAAGCTACCTAAAATTACAGACCCAGTCAAGAAATGGGCAAGAGAAATTAACATACATTTCACAGAGGAAGAAATACAAATGGTCAACAAATAGATGAGAAAATGTTCAACATCTCTGGGTATTATAGAGATGCAAATTAAAACCACACTAAGATCCTATTTTACTTGGGAAATAATGGCAATCATTAAATCAAACAATAACAAATGCTGGTGCACCTGTGATAACCTCCTTCATTGTTGCTGAGAATCTAAACTAGCACAGCCATTATGGAAATCAGAATGGAGATTTCCTCAAAGACCTGAAATTAGAAATTCCATATGACCCAGCCATCCCCTTTCTAGGTATCTTCTGCAAACAGCTTAAGACATCACACTAGGGTAATACATGCATATCAATGTTTATAGGAACACAATTTGTAGCACCTAATCCTGGAATCAGCCTGTACACCCATCAACAGACAATTGGATTAAGAAAATTCGTTGTATAAAAAATTCTATATATAAGGGAATACTACTTGGGTATAAAGAATGACAAATTTGAAACATTTGTAGGAAAATGGATGCACCTGGTAAATACAATGTTGAGTAAAATAATCCAGATAAACAAACCTAAATACCATATTGTGTCTCTCATTTGAGTGAGGCAAAGTAGAAATAAACAGAATCATAAAGGATGGATAGAAGGGGACAAGGGGATGGATGTCTTGCAATAGGGAAGTGGTCCAAGGGTGAGGGGTGAGGAGGAAGGGAAGGGAAGGGGAAATAAGAAGAATAAAGATGTGCCATGTATGGGAACCCAGTAACCTCAATGAATGTAAACATTACATGCCATAGCATAAGCTAAGATCAGTAACATCAACAAGAATAAAAATCGGGATGGGGAATTAGAATAGGAGGGAGAGAGGGAGTAGGGAAGGGGAAGAGGGTTACAAAAAGACACCAGTTGCAGTACGCACATGCACCTGCCCCTCAAGATGATTGTAAACTGCATGCAAATATGTAGTAATGAAATAAAAATTTTAATAACTAAATAAGCCTAATTCTTCATTGAAAAATGAAAATAAGATGTGATTGGTGTTTATCATTCAGATTGGAATTTTTTGTGACGTGAACATAATCAACTCATATCAGATATCAAATACATAACAAAGTATAGATTCTGTTACTTTTTTTGATTTGTCTCAGTGATTTTTTAGGTCGAAGTATACACAGTGTTACATCAAAAATGTGTATATGTATATATGTGTATGTGCTGTCAAATACTAGGTGAAGCAAGAAATATACTGAACCAGTGGCCTGAAAGTTTCAGATCAGTTCTTTTCCTGCTATACATGTGCCTAGTAATCATAAAACAATTTATGAAAGTTAGTTCACCTGTCTGTCTCAATTAGTTCATTTATATAGTGAAATAGCCTTGTAAAGTTTTGTATCTGTATAGTTACCTAGATTTTTTCATGTAGTACTGATGGCTTTTTCCTTTATATAGCTCCTATAGAGAGAATACTGTCTCCCAGTTACCAAACAGTCTGCCAAAAAGAAAAAAGTCAGCAGGAAAACCTCCTAGTTAAAATGTGAAAAATCATTTGTGGCAGTATAGCAAAGAATAGTGGCTTACCCAAAAATATATTCAAAAGAAGAAAAAAGTAATTTTCTGAAAATAGGTGGTCTGTTTCTAGATGAGTTTTTTGAAAACAAAATGTTTTGTCTTTACTCTTCTTTTATATAAAGTCTAAGATTAATGTTACAAGATAATAGGAAATATAATCAGTAACAGTCATTATTTGCAGAAACTGAATGCTAGAAATTATTATAACAAAAGTCTCCTTCTAGAAACTCACCTTTAAAAGAATCACTATTACTAAAAATATACTGTATCAACAACTATGAAGAGGACTTAAATAATAACAGTGCTATTCAATTTCATATATCTATCTTTTGACTGATCTTATTATTATTCATTATCATCACCAAACATTTATATACTTGATGATTCTTTTCTCCAAAATGAGAATTTCAAATTGAAACAGAGAGAGACAGAGAAATTGAAATCATGAATTTTTCTCTAAGTTCATTAGTTGCGCTAATGTGTAGTCAATCATTGTATCACTGAATATTTTGTCTCATCTTAGAATTAAAAAGAAAGGTAATTTTTTTAGAACCTGTCATTTATAGATTTTAATGGTACTGCATTAAAAATATGATCACAAATTTTTTATCATTCTGATGAGACAATTAAGCTTTTCCCTTAAGTTACTTATAATATTTTTAAAATAATTTTGGATTGTTCCATGTTCTCTTTTAAATCGAATATGTCCCTTCTTTCAATCCAATTTGCTATATATAAAAAGAGTTCTTGAAATAATTATTTTTATGTCTAAAATTAACCAAATTTCTTCTTGATATTCAGTGGGGAACTACATTATTTGCAAAAGGTTCCTGGAACTTCTTTCAGGTTCATTACTCAAAGCAGACCACAGAAATAACTAGTGCAGAACATCCTGTTCATATCACAAACCATCAGGCAAACTATCAAGCTCTTCTTTCTCAGTCTCTATCTAGGAAACATACTGCCTGTCTCAAATTTACTTTCAGTGTCAAAACTTTTCAAGTCTGTAGTTCTTTGAGAGGCATCTATGCTTCTAGATAATTTAACTGGTAGTTGAATGGTTACAGAAAGAAACAAGTTAGAAAAATAATTCTAGTATTTACAAAAAAATTGTCTCTATTTTCTAAATGTCTCTTTTAAAATTGTGGAGGACATATTTATTTCGACTTATAATTTCCTTCTATTTCTGTGTTGTCCTCATCTTCTTATCTGCCACTACATTTTTAGTCCAGCTAAATTTTTGAAATATTGGTATATTAGCTTGTCTTTGTAGTTAATTTAAAGACATGCTAAAATGGAAATGTAGTTACTTACATGATCATTAAAATCAGTTGGTCCTCATGTCTTTCCTATTTTCATTCTAGTCATTAAAACTAGAGATTAAGATAGATAGAAATAAAGATTTTATTAAAATGAATGTATGATTCTCAATGAGTACATTTTTCAAAATTATTGGGCATCTTTTTAATATTTAACTTTATTATTCTACAGATTCCTTAATGTATTCTAACATAAATTTAGATATCTTTCAAGTGTTTCCATAAAAAAATTTTTCAACATCATCATTTGTAGGCCCAAATTTTAAACATTGTTCTGATTTTGAAATGTTAATAAGTAAATGTTTATTATTCTGATTTTTGCATTGATACTTATTAAAATTTAATTCCATATTATTGTAAGCTATATCATCCTTTTCTTTGTAAAAATGACTTTTTTGTAAAACAATTCTGTTAATTTTATGAATATCATGTTTCACTTCACTGGATTAATGTAAAGAAAATTCCATTCGACTAAAATTCATTATATCCATTATCTAATTAATTGACAGAAGTAAACCTAACTAAATGTTAACTATGGCCAATGCTCTTAAACACAAACATAGTATAATAAATTTATCTATTATATCAGGCAGATATAATTGTAGACAAAAAGGATACATTTTTCAGACACATGTTTACCTTTCTTACCCCTTCAGTGTTTTTCTTTAAAAAAATTCCTACTCAGAGCTGGGGATTTAGCTCAGTGGTTCTGGCACCTGCCTCACAAGAGCAAGGTCCTGAGTTCGATCCCCAGTACAAAAAAAAAAAAGATTCCTGCTCAAGTTTACTGTATCTAATGTGTTATCTGCCCTTTCTTTTGCCAAATCTTATTTAAAATGTTAATGAAGCAAATGCTTAATTTGATATCAATTTAAAATTTTAAGTATTCATAATCTAAATATATTATCATCAAAACATATAAAAGCTATTAATGTCTTAGTCTGTTTGTGCTGCTGTAACAAAACATTGTATACAGGGTAATCTAGAAACAACAAAAATGTATTGTTCACAGTTCCTGGAGGCTGGAAAATCCATGACCAGGAGATTAACAGATCTGTTGTGAGGGTTTGTTCTCTGCTGCTTGGACAATGCCTACTTGCTGCATCCTTTAATCTCAGAAGACACTCCCCCTGGCTTCTTTTATAAAGGCAATAATCACACTCATGAAGGTAATGCCAACAGGATGTGACCACCTTCTGAAGGTCCTCTTTAGAATATGACCACAAAGGGAGCGAGATTTCGCATAAAATTGGGGATGAATATAAACATTTAGACCACAGTATTTAGCAAAATGTAGTTCTGTGAATGAATACTTTCCACAAGAAGGGGTAAGTAATTTTATTAGCATAAAACATAGAATTCCAATAATACAAGAACTTTTTTCAGTCAAAGTCTTCATTCATGAGAATGATCATTCTGGTATAAAATCATTTCTATTTGCATTTCTTTGCACCAATACCAACTTTTAATTCATTATAGAGTAAGACAGAATGGAGGAAACCGCTTTAATATTTGGAAATTTGTAGAAAGCAAAAAAATGTATAGCTTAGGTCAGTAGGTTCCCAGGACAAAATGTTTGATTTGTATGTAGTGTCTAAAGATTATCCTTGCAGCAATACATTTGTCACAAGAACACCTGAAATATCATTGCAAGTTGTTACAGCACTCGAGGTGGCAGTTATCTCAGAGAAGCCCTTCTAAAACTTCTGACAGCAGGTTACATTTTAAAGGAATATTTCATGTACAGTCATAAAACTGTTGCAAATATTTTCACTGTAAACATTTATGCTCATTTTCATAGTTTGTTTCAACTAAACCAATAACTTTTTACATTCTACCTCTCATATGTAGAATACATTTACAAAAGCACTCTCAGCAGACAGTAACACCCAATTAGCAGCAAAGATACAAATATGATGTTCATACTTATTTGCTCTTTATAAATCTAATTTCCTTGCTATTTGAATTAAACAAACAATAACTAAAATAAACACACTAGGGGACTGTAGATGGACCTTACCTTCTTGAACTGCTTGAAAAGGGTTGTTGCCATCAACAAATGTCACCGAAAATGTGATTTTCTCAGTCTGTAAGATTTCCTCATTCTGGTTTAGGTCTCCAACTGCTGTGCGAAACACCTCATCATCCTTTTTGGCAGATTCATCAAAAATTGCTCCTAGAAAGAAGTGAGTATTGCCATTAAACAATACTATAAATATTCTGTCATGCCCCCTGGAAATATGCCAAAGAGACTTATATATTTGAAAAATGTAAACTTCCACGTATTGTTTGTGCTTTATTCATTACTAAAATATATGATACTGGAGCAGTGTAATAGCCCAGCAGGAACAGAGTTCCCTCTTCTGATTATATAGGAGGACTAGTGCAACAAAGTGTCATTGCAGGAAGAGCATGGGAAACAGTGCAATAGGCACAAAAAGGTTTAGCAAGAGAGTGTCTCATGCACTGGCTGTCATATATCATGCAATATTGAGGAATTAATAGTTTGGGGAATTCTTTTCTGAACAATAGGAGTTAACATCAGAAATATTCTGTGGACCAGTTCAAAAAATGTATAGGAATCATACTTCTTTTATGATATTAATGCCTCTTCTTATTACCTTCCTGTTTCTCCTTGACCCCTTTTTGTTTGTTTGTTTAAACAGGGGTCTCTCTCTCTCCCTCTCTCTCTCTCTCTCTCTCTTTCATTTTCTTTTCTATATCGAAGAATTAGACCCGCTCTGTTAGATCCCCAGCCTCAGTTTCATTATTTATAGTAGTAGTAAAGTCAATACTATTTTAGAGACATACGAATCTCTGAATTGAAGGAAAGAAGGAGAATTACCAGAAGAATTGACATAGGCCCTAGTTGATAGGTATGACACTTTTCATAGACATAGAATACTAATGATGGCAAAAACATTGTGGCTAACTGGTACTGAGTGTTTGGCTTTCCACAGCATTATTGGTTAAACAGAGTTTTCAGACCAAATTGCTTGATTTCAAGTCTTACCTTCCACTAGTTGTTAAGTACATGACCTTGCATAAGATACTAAATTCTAAGCCTTACATTCATCATCTGTACCATATAACAATAATAATTCCATATTTATCTGTAACAGTTATTGTATATATTAAATGTTAATCATAAATAAGTTGCATAAATGAAATGGTCTAAGTTCTCAATAAATGCTAGTATTTTTTAAAATCAAATCTTGTAATTCACAACATTGTACTTGATGAAATAAGCCAGACAAAGAAAAGTGCTATATGATCTCACTCACATGAAATCTAAAAAGTCAACATGATAGAAGCAGAAAATACAATAATGGTTGCTAATGGAGGGAGGGGAAGAGAAATTGGGAGATGTAAGTCAATACATAGGAATTTGGAGCTGTGAGGATAAAAATGTCTACAAAATGAAGGCACAGCATGAGAACTATAAGTAATAATGCTGCACTGTATGCTGAAAAATTGTAGAGAAATTATAGGTTCTTATACACACATATACACATAAGTAAGAAAGATGGGAATATGCTTGACCATAATAATCATTTCCACATGCACATAAATACAAAACCATCAAGATATTAATTTTACCTTACCTATCAGTGCTGAGACAGATAGAGCTATTCATTTGCAATTAATATTTTATAAAAATATTTAGATAATAAATGGTAGATTTTTCTTGCTGATTATGAAGGCTGGTTTTTAGTATGTGATAACTCTTATGCAGATATGGATTAATCATTACACTGAAATCTAATACTATCAGATTCAAATACACAAAATTTTCAGCAGTTTGTCAGGAAGTATGATATATATTTCTCACAGCTAGAGCTGAAGTAACCAATTAATTCTGAACCAGATAATCTAAGAACTAAAGTGTGTTTTATATAGAGACATTTTCACCTGATGTGAATTCTAAACGAGTCTTTTAGAAGACATCTGTAACAAAATTTGTTTTCTAGCAGATGATGTTGTTGGCTTTTGCTGAGTATTGGCAATACATTTGTAATGGAAGCATTTTACCATTACCTGACAGAACACTTAACATTGCCTTAACTTTAAACGTGGCTTAATAAATGGCAGAAACCTGCAGAAATGATAGCAAATCAGTCAACTCAGTGCTGCATTAAGATATACTGAAAAGAAATGCACAAAAGAAACAGCTCATCTTTCTGCAAACAGAATTACAGAAACGAAACAGTTTATCTGGCTACAAAAGCATAACCAACTAGCAGGAAATCTTAGCCAATATTTCAAATCCCAGTTATTTATGTACTTCTATTTTGGCTAAAAAATGTCATCTTAAATTTGACTTAGAACCAAAAAAAAGAGCATGTAGCATTCTTTGTGAAACAAGCATTCTGAAAAACTCTGCAAAGTTTCACATGAAGAGTCTCACAGAGGATGCAGAGAGATTGCAACTTTGAGTTCCACCTGGGCAATTTAGTAAGACCTGGTCTCAAAATTTAAAAAAGCCAAAAGTTCTGGAGATGTAGCACCCCTGGGTTGGATCACTGGTACCACAACATAGTAATAACAAGAACCTCACAAAAACAAGTCCCTACACTTTGTACACTTGCAGTAGTCACAACAAAATCATGTACTCAACCTTTATAATAACAGCTACATATTACCTGAATAAATCAATATCAGATATTCTAGATTTATTTCTATAACAATACAGTTGCTCAAATGCAACATTCAAAATAGTGTAACTAACAGGATGACACAGCATCCAGCTTCTTCCTGGAATACTTTTATAGTCAGTTTTATTTCACAACACATGATTTTCTCTCCCTCTCTACACACACACACACACACACACACACACACACACACACACACATACATGCACGTCCTATTGCCCAAACTGGAAAGAATGATCAATCAATAAGGCAATACAGAATACTCCCTAAATATTCCTATTATATCATCTTCTAGTTAGTCATCTCAATTAGTAGATGGTGACATTCTGTTTCTTTGCTTTTCATTATTATTTATTAGTACATGTTTTCAGTATGTAACCCTATTCACATTCTTTTTGGGAAGTAACACAACACATCTTAATTCCTTTTTAATTCCCTTCCCCACTGCTCTATTCCCTTTCCCTCCATCTCTTGATTCAGAAAGATCTGTCTCCCTACTTCCTACTATATATCTTTTTATTTTGTTTTTTATTTATATTTTGAGTTTCTTTCATGAGAAGAGAAAGGCTCTATTTAATTCTTATAACAATGATGGTGACATGCACGGTGGGTACGTGTATAGGTTTTTAATTCAAGATATCATGTTTGCTTATCTTATAAAGGATATTGATGTATGAATTTGCATTATATATAATGCTGCTGAAAATAATTTTCATGTAACTAACAGGCACATAAGCATATGAACAAATACTAAACCTTAAAAAAGGTCTACAAAATAATTGTGAAAATATTCACAGTTTATTACAGTTTTAGAACTATGTTGTTGGCTTCATTTTATTTTTCTTTTGGCTTCATTTTAAATTGTTGTGAGATGTCATGTGTAAAAATATTAACGTGATTATAATTTTGGGAACTGATAAATTATTGTACAATTCAAAGTATAAAATTGATAGTTTATTGATAAACAACAATACTTCTGTATTTTTGAAACAGAATTATGTTCTATAAAAATATTTAAGGTTCACATAAACCATACATTTACTTGCTATATTTTTTAGCTCAAATTTACATGCATTATGTTTTACATTAAATTCAAACCAAATTTCTTCCATAACATCAAGAGATATAGAAAATACAATCTCTCTTCCTGTCTTCCTCTCTACCTACCTCTCTCTCTCTCTCTCTCTCTCTCTCTCTCTCTCTCTCTGTCTCCTGTAGATGCTTTGTGTTTAAAATATGATGTTACTTTGGACCACAAAATAATTTCATTGAAATTCAAATTTGAAAATATTCCTTGTAAATAAAAGATTTATAAAATCACTTAACCTAACCCAATAAATACCCCAAATATTCTTTTCCACATACATGCAGTTACTGATGTTGTGGCCACCAATGTAGGTAACAGTCTTGTCTCTGTCCAGAATATCATTTTCTGGGCTATGAAAATTATTTTCATCTTTAGAGTGTCTGGCAGAGAACCTGAATATTTTAGGCACTTGAAAAACATTAATTGATTAATATTTGCTTATATTAAGTTTGACATAATCCTGTACTCTACAATACCTAAATCCAGATATAAGAATAAAACATAAGTTATAACCATACTTAAAAAGTACACTTGCAAATGTATTTGCATGTGATTTTAACAGAGGCACTATCTAGAAGAACCAAGTTATTCAGCAAGGTATTAATCATGCACTTTATTTTTAGTTTGAATATTTAAATACTTTTTTTGTTTTATAATAGGCAAGTGAAGGAAACTGTTTAGCTAATAAGGCAGAGGCAAAAAAGTTTTCATGTTGCTCAGAATTTCTCTTAAAATATTTAGAATTTCGAAGGCATTTTTCTACATAAATACTATAACTATTGAAACATCTACCTATCTAATTTTATGTAGTTAATGTACCAAATGTTTTCAATAATTTTTTCTAAAAATTGAAAGCAAGCAAGTTTCAACATACCTACATTACCCTTATAAAAGCAATTTATGCTTAAAACCTTTTTATCTAGAAAGACACATATGAAACAATTGCCCAAATAAGTTTGATTAGATTTCTTAGTCGAAAATAAAGTTTAAAAATATAGCTAACCTTTTCTCAGTCAAAACATTCAACTCTTTATTCATTTAATATCCCAAAATATATAAATTCTTTATGGTAGTTAATATCAATAGAAAAACACCTTCCAATTTAAAGGTAACATATTTGATGCATAGTGTGAATTTTCAATATTCTTTGAAACAATATATTTGATACTCTCCCCTTTGATTTTACTTTGTTTTTTTCTTTCTCTCCATGTACTTATACATCCACACATTCACTCACCTATCCATCCATTAACCTTTCCTCAACACATAGAAATTCAGCAAAGCCATGCCACTTTGTTCCTTAAAGAACAATTACATGTGAAATCAAGCCAGAAGAGAATTATTAAATGTCTTGACAAGATAGTGAAGCTAGGCAATCATGTAGTTTTCGCAAACTCACAGCTTAGAAGCATTTTGGAAATGATGTACAATAAC